TCGCAAAGAACACTGCATTAATACTGACACTTTTGTCCCATGTGCTCCAATCTCAGCATTTCATATATACATAGAATAGTGATTCAACTTAATCAGGATGAACAAATTCTTCAGAAATTATATATTTATACTGTACAGTTTCCTAAAACCTCACCACCATACCAATCAAAACTTATTAAAGGGTTTGAGAGGATGGCATAGTAGATAAAGTGCTTGCTGCAGAAACATAGGGACCTGAGCCCCAATCCCCAGCACCCATGTAAAAAGTCAATGCATGGCCTGTTTTGAGAAGCCAGCATTAGAAGAGTGGAGGGAAGGTAGGGGTAGAGACAGGTGGCTTCTGGAAGCTCAATAACTAGCTACTCTAGCCAAATCAGTAAGCTCCAGATTCAGTGCCAGTCCTTGTCTACACATGAGGGAGATAACCTAACATTGACTTCTGGCTTCCACATACATGAACACACCTACATGTGCACACACACACACACACATTAAACACACAAGTGCATACACATATGCATAATCTAAAACTATTTCCCAAAACTTTCAGGCAGTGCATAAGGCACATATGAGATAGTAATCGCTGAGGACCACTAGCAAAAGCAAGTCAAGTGCCCCGAATGAACTTAACTTAGCTAGATGAGGCATAACTGACATGAAATGGTGAGGCATGACGCACAGGGCACTCTCCCTGGTAACATCAGTATTTGCAGTATTGTGTCATCTGAAAGTCATAAACCTCCAGATGATTAGATTTTGCTAATATTACCTAATTTTTCACTTATGAAGACAGTTCCTTTTGTGTGAATTGGTTTATGCACTCCTTTTATCACTTCTGGAGACAGGTGGGTGTAGGGGAGGACTTGGTGGCACATTCGACAATCTTGATAATAGTTGACTAACGAGTGGCAGCTGCATTCTCTCTCTAAATCCAGCAACTAAGCCCCCAATGTTTCAGGAGCTTCACAGATGATTCCAACTAAGGCACGGGGTTCAGGAACTTACATGAAAGCGCCAATTTAATAAATTTAAGTCCGTAATTGCGGCATGGAGGAAAGGACAATTTTGAAAGGTACCAAGAAGATAAGACACGCAAGGGCGAGAAAGTCCAAAGGCTAAGCTATTTTCTATGAGAAACCAAGGAAAGGTATTAGAGGAACAGGGCTGTGAGGTGGGGAGAGGATACCACATCTAGAACTTAGAGAAACAGTTTTTTTCTTTTCATTTTCTGAAAGAACTGAAAATTGACCCCATAGATCATAATTCCAGATAAGTTCTTTTCTTTTATAGTGTCATTAAACCGTTTTATACTGTGATGTCCATCAACAATACATTAATGTCCTTTGACAAGGTATGTTCAAATAGCCTTCAGACCCTCTGAAACTCAGGCTGTGTGTTCAGGATGCTACAGCTCATGGAGGCCTGGGGAGTTTCCTGGTGAAAAACTCTGTAATCTGGACCAGTCTTCCAAAATGAAATGCTGAGGGCTAACCTAGCCTCAGAAGTTAAAAAGTGGGTCCTTTTAAGGAGAACCCCCTTGCTCCTCTCAATTACAAAGACCACAGCATAACGAGAGAAGGCAATTCCCAACTGCTTTCCTTCCCCTATAGAACATTCAGGCATCTATTCTTGCCTGATCCCAACCCGTGACCTGTGAAGCATCAAGAGAGACCCTGTCCTGACCTAGCTCTTATCTTGGTTGTTTCAAATCCGTGGCCTTTCCATTTCCCTCAGAATGAAGCCTAAACCACACCCCATGGTCTACAAGAATCTATGTGGTCTGCTGTCACCTACAACTTCACCCATGTCTTTCTTGTAGTTCTCTCTTCATGTACCATGTCAGCGATGCTGGCCTTCATTTATTCATTAAATGTATTTATTTTTGCCATGGATCTTTCCACACATGCTTAGAAAACCCCATCTTTCCACTGCTTAGGTCTTCACCCACAGAGCTCTGCTGTCTCAGCAGCAACCTTGCTACTCCTCGGGCCCCAACATTCCCACCATTTTTTTCTAACTGCCTCCCTTCTTCACTTTTGTGCTCTAATTCTGATTTTCCCAAGAGAAACAAATTCTCCCATAAACATCTGCTCTAAGACTTCACTTTCCTATGTGAATGTCCTCCCTGGCAGGTAGAGCAGGGGAAGGGCCGGTCCAGCTGGAGCTGGTCTCTTCCCAGGGCTGAGTGGGATTGTGCCTGTCGATGACTCAGACCTGAGTCTGGAGTCTGTTGAAGTAGGATCTCGATTTATTCCAACAGGCAGGAACTGACATAGGGCTGAGGTAGGGGATGAGAAACATAGGCTAGGGTAAGGTGACTTGAGGAGTAAGGGCCAATAATATTCCACCAAGCAGGCAGGTAGCTAGGGAGGGGGGCAACCTTACATCAGGTCTGGCTGATTCACCCCCACATGGAGGTTACAGCTTAGAGGCAGGTCTCCAAACTCTAGCCAGACTCAGGAGCTTACACTGGGCCTGGCATCCAAGCCCTAAACTCAAGTCAGGCTCAGGAGCTTACACTGGGCCTCGCGTACGAGCATTTCTTAGGCCCAACAGTGAAGAGGTCTACATGAAACCAATTTTTGTTCTAACAGTTTTTATCTGTTAAAATCATTTATTTTTCAGCCGAGCGTTGGTGGCACACGCCTTTAATCCCAGCATTCGGGAGGTAGAGGCAGGCGGATCTCTGTGAGTTCAAGCCAGCCTGGTCTACAGAGAGAGTTCTAGGATAGCCTCCAAAAAAAAAAAGAGAGAGAGAGAGAGAGAGAGAGAGAGAGAGAGAGAGAGAGAAACCCTGTCTTGAAAAACCAAAAAAAACTCATTTATTTTTCATCATCATCAACATTTATTCTCGTAGTATCCTTAGCTCTTTTCTTCTCACTCATTCCTCTCTTCCAGTCTTTTCCTATGCCATCCGTACAACTCTATTTTCATGCCATGGTTCTTAAGCAGGCTCTTCTGATTATTAGTGTCATCAAATATATTGTAAAGGCTTCTTTCTTTCATCAACCCTCTCAATTCTCTTCTCCAGCTTTTCTCACCTTAGCAAGAACTCTCTTTCTAACTCTGGGCAATTTAGCCAACTTTAAGGTAGATATAGAATGAGTTTGTCCATTCATTTAATTTTGGAGTTGCAGAAAAGAGATGCAAAGATAAAAAAAGAATAAATACTACTTACAACACCAAATAAGTTAAAAAATTGGAGTGAAAAACAGAACCACCTCATTGTGGTTCTTAACTAAGGCAAAAGCTTGTTTTTTCTCACAGTGAAATGCTCTAATGCAGAAGGAGCTGACTTTAAAGTCCTATTTTCCACAACTCTTCTATCCGTTGTCATAGCCTGTGCACTCAATTACATGAAGCTATGATCATGTGCTGAAAAACTCTCAACTTCTGTCTACAGAATTTCTATGCTCCCTGGCTCTGTCCTCCAGCCCTCTGATGACATTATGGTTCTTAGCCAGAGGCTTTGTACACCTATATCCTCCTGGCCTTCCAGGGTCCAACTTCACTTTCCCCATCTTTCTTTAAGTATAATTAATGTCCCTCTGTTGTCTAGAGTGCAACACTTATTCTGCCTTCTAGGGCAGATGCTATAACTCAAAAATCAACTTTGAATGTCTAAAAGGGACTGTCACATACCACTGACACTCAATACATCCTGGAATGAATGTAACAAGCATATTAGGTGATAACAGCATCTTCTGCTCTTAATTGCAAGCGCTTCTGAAGGTGGCTGAGTATAGTACCAGGCTGAAGAAGGGCACTTGTATGTAGTTTCCTAATTTCTTGGTGTTGAAAAAAATCACCTAGGAAGACTTCTTTCACCTAGCCTGGCATCCCCTCATTTCCCACACTATCCACAAAGTATCTCCAAAATGAGTGTTTATCTTTCTGTATTTCCCATTCTCCCAGTCACTGATATTTGGAAGGAGAATTCAGCAATTAAGAATGAAAACTCTCTGATACACACGGAAATAGTCTAGCCATTCTCATTGGCCCTACAGAAGTTAGGGGCAGGATCAGCAGCAGGTGCTCTTGGCTATTTCCAAATTCAGCCTTGGAGAGGCCAAAATCAAATGCAGAGGCACACTTTACAAAGTGCAATATATTGCTGCTGACATGGAGGGCAAAAGAGGGGTAGCAAAAGAATGTCACTATACAAAAAGAAAGATGTCTCTGGAAGGCAGTGCACCTAAATATGCAGTCAATAGCACAATACAAATTCTTTGTTGAGGTTCTAGACAAGGTGATAAGTACTTTTCATGCATGATTGTTGTTTGTCCCTTTGTTTGTTTTTCAAGACAGTTTTCTCTATAGTCTTGATTATCCTGGAGCTCGCTCTGTAGACCAGGCTGGCTTCAAACTCAGAGAGATCTACTTGCCTCTGTCTCCCAAGCACGTCACCATTCCCTGGCATGAGTGGTTTTAATTAACAGTCGAGAAAATTTGAGAGGTGGTGGTAATGATAAGGATGATAGTAATTGTAGCAGTGGTGGAATACACAGTTGAAAAAAATTATTTGGCTAGGGCTTTATAGCTACTGGAAATGGTTTAGAATTCAAACCCACATAATGTAAAACCTGAACTTTCATCTTAACTCTGTTTCCTACTGTCTGTATGTTGAGTGAGGTTGAATTAGAAAGTTGGGAACTTTGTAAACTTATTAAGGAAACAGGCATGAAGAACTGATCACTTGGTGTTACAGCTACACAAATTGGTGTTTGTACTGGGGAGAAACATACTTGAGAAATTTCTGCAATATATTTTAAGGTGATTATGTTTTACATGCTCAGCCAAGAATTTGGCCTTTCTTTTACTCAAATATCAAACTTAAAGCCCAAGAAACATTCAATTGGAGACATTACTAGTAGTGCCCCAGTTATGCACATTCCTAAACATCACAGATGGGCAAAGTGGGAGTCAAGATTGGCAAAGATGATACTTCCCAGAGTAGACATGGAGCTCTTGATGAATATTCAACAAATGTTACAAGGACCTTGCATTCAAAGAAATTTATTCTGCCCCACTGGTACTGTGAGTAGAAAGGTAAGCCACCCACTGAGCTTGCAGAGAACACAAGATAGGAACCTAAAAGATTTTCATGAAAAATAGAAAACACTGTTCCAGAAGTAGACACAGCAAGAAACTGTACATCAGGGTTTGCAATGAGGTCATCTAGATGCAAAAGTATATAGAACTATGCATCTGCATAATTAGCTCAAAGTCTTTTCATTGTACACATTTCAAAGCATTCTATGAAAGATGTCCATAAGCTTTACCTAGCCACAGGATGAATCCAGAACACCTTGGAGTTTATAAATGTCTGTCAATAGAGAGGACAGCTTTTTAAAAAAATGAGGCCAACTCTGGGAACTTCTCTGAAACTTTGCCAATGAAAATCCTTTCTCCTCATGAAAACTATAATCTGAGGACTAAATATACAAATAAAATGTCTAGTTATCATTGTTGGTCTTCAAAAGTCAGAGGCCTTAGAGGACTCTGATTAACTAATAGCAAGCACTCTGAAAGAAAGCAAAACCCAAATACACTACCAAGGCCTATACCTAACACAAATAAACAAATATACCCTAACATAAACAAACAATTAATTTAAAATCACTCCTAATAATTTTATCTTCTTTTCCTGGATACTTAAATATTTCATAATAATGCCCTTAAGTTTAAGTGTCAGGAGATACAAAAGAACAGAGTACAGGTAAGATCTCACCCCATTCCCTCCCCTCTGAAGGAGTGAAGCACACTGCAACATGTGAACAAACAGAGAAGAAAGCTACTGATTCATCCTCACCCTTATACAAAACTGTGCAAACCAAATGAACAGAGCTAAATCAAGGTGGAAATAATCTGAAGGCAATTACTATTTTCTAGGGAATACATTGAAATTCTCTAGCCACTGGTTGTGTCTGACATCAGATTTAACAGCACATTAAATTTACATCCACACACACATTTTTCAGAAGGAATAAAAACTAATGATTTCCCTTCACCAACCTTCCCCCAATAATTTTCTTTGATTTATAATATCTGTATATTATGAATACAGTCAAAGACATAAATAACAAAAACAAACACAAATTGGTCAATTGATTAGGATTTAGTATTGTGAGAGCATAGTTTTTGATATTATCTACTTGGACTGTGTACAAAAATGATAAAATGTATTCTAACTCAAAACACCAAGTGTTTTATATAAATTAGAAATCAATCAGATCTACTCAGACCTGTTCTAGAAGGTGAATAGGGAGTGATACACTTGAAGATCCTGTATCTTTAAGCCTTCAGAGAGACCAGACCAGGATTTGATAACAGACAAGTGGCTGATGATTCAGGATTTCAGGAGTTAAACATGCCATGTGAACGTAAGTTGGACAATAAATTATATCTCAGTGATGACTGATTTTATTAGTATCTTGGGAATATTTACCATGGTCTGTTACCAAAATATATCACTGTTATTTAAGATTATATTATGCACTTCTGAATTTTCTTTAAAATCTTTAACTTTCCCACGATGTTGTTACGAAGGTCAGTTTACAAGAAAAACCATATATTAATGCTTGCTGAAGTTTTGTTTCTAGTCATTTTTTAAGAACAACTCTTATCATCCCCCAAAAGGGAACAAGAGTCACAGAAACAGAAAGAAACAAAGGATGGAAGGATGGAAAGGAGGAGTCAAAGGAGGAAGAGGAGAAGAAGGGGGGAGGAGGAGGTGGCTTCTTTCCAGAAGATCTCCAAGATGATGAGGAAGGATAGTGTCTCAGTGTTTCAAGTTTGCAAATTGATTATCTACCACAGTGAGGAGATTAAAGGTAAATACACAGAGAAAAATGGATTTAACTGTTTGGATCTTTAGATTTGAGACCTTTAATTTCACCTGCTCTGATTAGGAAAATAATCTATTAGTAAAAGGATCTAGATTATAATGTAAACCAGAACATGAGATAAATATGAAATGTTGAGGTCACCAGTCACATAATCATAGATTATATGTCTGGAAGCATATGTTAATTGTGCCGACTTTTTCTGTTTTGATTATTTCCTTAAAGATAAATCTCTCCACCCAAACCAAAAAAAATGAAAATATTTCAATAATATGCATCTAGGGGTACATTATTAGAAGACATTGTATAACTAGTAATTTAACAATATTATGAATTATCACAAAAATCAGTTTTTCCTAAAAATTATTTAGCTACAACTCAACAATATGTTTTTATTTGGGGGGGCACTATTTTAAACTCAGAAGTATATGTAGTTCAAAATAGTTTATAATTTATATCAATAGTTATAGTTTCATTTCATAGATAACTCAAGTTTTTATCATACTAATTAATATTTTAAGGTATCATAGCTGAAATACAGTGTGTTAAGAATCATTTGGAACCAATTTTTGGTTTTCACTTTGGACCATGCTAAGGATCAAACCCAGGACTTCAAGCAATGGCAGAACCACTTGGCTACATCCAAAGTCTTGAGACATACCTTGAGCTCATGACTGTTATGTCTTTGCTTCATCAGTGCTGAGACTACGTGTGTGTTCCCAAGCCCTGTATATCAACCCATGATTTCTCTTTCATATTTCATGGTGAGAATTTTGATGCTATGAAATTAAATAATGACAATTTGTTGTTTAAAGTTGCACATTTAACAAAATACCATAGGTGTATATAATCACACAAGAACACAAACAAGTCATTTTTTTTACTAAGGTTTAATTTTAACTAATAAATTTTAAGTAATGATTGTAATACCAATCGAGTCTTCACTAATTTTCAATGCATGACCATTTTTTTAACTCAAAGGTAGAAAGTTTTTTTCACCATGGTTTACTTTCAGCTTATTTGTTATCTTTCTTCTTAAACATTCTTCTTTGCATTCTTCTTCTTGCACTTTTTAATGAGTCACATACAGTTTGACTAAAGAACCATCCTAGCACAGTAATGTTTCAACTTGCAAGGAAGGACACCCTTGTTGAGCTGGTAGAACTCTACCAGCTGGATGAGATCTGTGAATTTTGTGTGGCCATCATCCAGGGTGTGGAACAACTCTCCATCATCTTCCACCTTCAAAAGGACAAGCAACAAGCCAGTGAAAGGAAAAACAATGAACAAACAAGCAAATATTTTAAAATAAAACAAAATTTTGGGTTAAACTACCCAGAAGAACAAATAAAGTTCTCCGCATACTATATGTTTCCATAAGCCTAAGTCAACAAGTATGTAAAACTAAGGACAATGAAAACAGCCCCATAGCAACCTTTCCTGGTAACATCCTTACCTTTAAAAGCAGTTATCTACTCTTAGAATAAGCAGTCTGGTTCTTTCCTTATTCTCCCAGTGTTCTGTATATTTAGGATAGCACAATGGTTGCCTATCAACAGTGAGGATTTTGTAGTCCTTACTAAGGAAAAAACTCAATGTTTTCACATAGAATTTCCTTTCTTTTTTCTTTGTCATGCTTTTGGGCATGAATCACTTAATATTTTCTGGAGCTGCTAATCACATAATAAAAAAGCAATCAAAGTAGCAGGAAGGATACTTTGAACAGCTATTGGAAAAATCCAGAAAGTGGCGACTCAGAGGAATCCCCAGAACTCTCACAATCTTACAAAAATACCTTCCTAACGATGGGTTACATCTCTGCTACTCTGTAGGCCCCCAGTGTGCACATCATACACATGCATTCATACAGGCATGTATCAGCAATACAAGAGAAACACCAAAGCAGGATGTGACAAAGATTTTTCTTAATGTTCTTAGAAATATTGAGACACCCACTAGTTACACAACACCTTTGATTTCATCGTGATTCAAAAGAAGTTGATGGGAGACATCAACAAAAGAATATAGTTTTGAGAGGAAGGAGGCAAAGAAGGCTTCCAAGCACTGCTTTGTAAGAATCTGTTAGTGACATTCAGAAGAAGGACTTTTAGTGGCCTTTAACAATAGGTGGCATGAGGTCTACACAGTATTGCTAAATCATATTTTGTGGAAAAGGGGAAAATTTAATTTTTTACAATTCCTGTATTTCTTGTATTAATTCAGACTTATAAAATCATTTCTGCCAAACTTAACTCTAGTCAAAGCACAAGCTCCCAAATTATATTTAATAAAAGGAACAAAAGAAAACCAAAGTTTCCCAAAGCGTATGCACTAAGAACATCTCCAATACATGAATCTAGAAGTCACAATTACTTACCGGTATGATTTGAAAGTGTTTTATCTTTTGTCCATGACTCATTGACAGTACAAAAGTTCTAGGGTTACTCTGACTGTCCCGTACCAAGAAAACTCTAAAGAGAGAAAAGGAATTCCAATGTTTCTTTCTTCATACTCAGATTTCATAGAAATATATTGTATGCAAATACATATGGATACATGTAAATGGTAGAGCCGGGGCCTCCTTTACTGGGTGATCAATGGGTAAGACTATCCATCTTGGAAAAGAACAGGTAATAAACTTGTACTGGAAAACTGTCATTATACTAATGGAATGTAATAAGGTAAATACATAACCCTTCTGTCAGGTTGCATGATCACGACTGCCAATATTATGTGAAAGTGGCATCAATAATTACTGTTATGTATGTCCTTTTGTCACTCAGAGACTAGGTACTCCCACGTAGCTATCCACCAGAAGGAATGGACATTGCTATTTTAACTGACAGGTCATGACAGTCCCCTGAGAGGAGGCAATTATTTGGAATGAAATAGTTTTGTTTTGTTTTTTACACTTCTGCAGTGCACCCTCTTGTAGTAGTAGGAAATGAATCTATTCTAACAAATTAATCTCGAAATTGTTTGTGAAACGTTTAGGTAAAGATGTTTTAAGTAAAAGAAACACCCCAAAAAGCATGCACTTTAACCTTGAAGAGGCCAGCATAGAACCTTTATAATGTCAGGCTAGACAAGCAAGATGTGGCCTAATGGCCTAAAGAAAAAAGACTGCCAGGCAGGGATTCGTATTTACTGGCAATGCTGTGCAAAACCAGTTTGGTATTAATTATTGGGAAGCACACTGTGCAAATGTCCCTATGCTGACTCCAATACGAATCTCACTGTGCCTGAGCAAAGAGGCAGCCAATGTCTGAGGAAAGCATCCATTTCAAGTGTGTTGTGTGAGACTCAGAAATGACATCACTGGAGGCAGGACAAAGGGACATTTCAGTGGTAAAGGAAGATGTAATTTTCTTTCCTTCCCAAGAAGCTCAGCACTACCCCCTTGTGGGCTACTTGGCACCATCACAACTTTACAGGTACAAAAAAAGGTTTGAAGAAACATATCCAATTATTATTCTTTATTGAATTATTTCATTTAATTTACAAATATTGGACTCCAAAATTAATGGAATTGTAACTTTCTAAAACAACCCCCTCTTGGTCTCTTCTTTGTAAATCTCATCAAATGTATAACTCCAAGGACTATGCTTCACATAGAGAAACACAGTCATATCTGCTTTTAGAGTGTAATAAAATGTGCAGGCATGCATCTTTATCTAAAGTCCAGTATCAAAAACCTCAATGTTGAGCAGGATGAGAGATACCATAGCAGAGGGAGTCATTCTAGGTTCGAGGAGAGATCCGGCACTAGTGAGATCTCCAGAGATCTACAAGGATGACAACAACTGGCAAACTAAGCAGTAATGGAGAGACTACTTTAAATGCCCCTCGCTGATAAGGATTTTTACAACTGTCTTATATACCACCCTAGAGGCCAGCACGGGACTGAGTCAGATCACCTAAATGTGATTGTCAGTGAGGAGAAATAGGCAATCTATGGGGCTTTGGGTAGTAGATCAGTATTTACCCCTGGCACACAAATGGACTTTGGGTGCCCATCCCACAATGAGGGATGCTCTCTCAATCTGAACACTTGGGGGAGGGCCTGGGCCTTCCCCGTAATTAAATGACAGACTCTAGGGATCCCCATAGAGGGCCTTACCCTCCCTGGGGAATGGAGTGGGTACTGGATAGGAGTTGGGGGGTGCTGATGGGCAGGAGCGGGCATGGAGGGGTGGGAGAAGGAGCTAGGACTGACATGGTAAGCAAGCTTGTTTCTAATTTAAATATATAATAAAAAAGTGTTTCAAAAAACCTCAATATTGTCAACGTCTTAAGCCAATCCTTGCAGATACAAGATCCAATCACCACTTGTTTAAATGGATACTGCTTTCTTTCCTCTTCAAACACCCACACAACCCCCACCCCCATTTGCTCTGTATTGAGAAAGAAATCTGGCTAGAATTATATTCAATGAATGAAATATACCAAGTGAAACAGATAATCCTTCTAATTATAAACAGTTGATAGTTCATTTTATCTTCCTCTTTTGTACTCATATACAGTAAAAGATATCACCAAAAAAGAAAATTTACCTGTATATACTGTGTACATACTTTTTATGGCAATAAAATCATAAAAAGAAAAACAAACAGGGAAAGAATTAAAAATACACAAGAAAAAGTTTTCAATTAATATGTTTTGCAACATATCCATGAAACCAAATTTAGGACAACATCCTGCTATAAAATGTATTTGGAATTACATATACTATATGTACAAACCAAAATGGTGACACCTCAAAGAGACTTGGATAGTACCCCTCATCCATTCGCATCTGAGATGATAGCATTCACACAAACAAAATGAGAATTAATGCTATTTGGTTAAAATTAAGTATCCTGCTATCTCGTTATTTACACACAACTATTAAATCCCACTATAATATAGTGACAACCATGCTTACAGAACAAAAGTACCTCTGCTTTGTGATAAGTCAAAATTAAAATTTCTTTAGTATGTGCTAAGTAATCCTCATTCATGGGGAGAGGGGAAAACCAAACATTATCACTCAAACTACGAACATCAGACTCACCCATCCACAGGCCCCTGCCGGATAATCAGCTGCTGAGCTTCATCTCTAGAAATTCTGTGATGAAACCATGGCTGGGATCGGTGGATAGCTGAAGGAAGACAAAGGTTTGTCTGATAGGATCATGATTTCCTTCCATGCATCTCCCGCCCTATCCCTTGGGACTATTTGAGGAACACCGATCTGATTGTCCATCAACTGGTTGGCAAACACAAAATGTAGACATACCCATGTTCACAGCAGCGCTCTGGGAGGGGGCAGTAGGGCTACCATGATTCCCCAGGCGTAAACATCCTTTCTTCTGAACAGTAAGAAAAAAAAAAGGGAGGGGACAAAAATAAAGTCTCAACTTCTTGGCTGAAATGACCCAAACCATAAACATTTGAGAAAAATTAAGCCATTGGTACCCTCCAAGCGAGTCCTTCCTCAACAGCCACCGAAAGGGCTTCTGTGGGGTTGTCTATGACTCTGCTTGTCTGGCCTGAGAAGTCCATTGCTACCAGTGAATTCTCTGATATGCTTCTCTGAAAAATTAAAACAATAGAACATTTGGACTATCAATATATATATATACATATATATATATATATATATACACTAATGTTCAATGTTTTTCTGTTCATATGTGTCCATTCTGGACTGGGATTCTGTCAGCAACCCTGCAAGGGTCATCATGGCCAGCAGGGAAATGGTCCACATAAGGTGAAATTCTGCACCTCTTTATCAGGTACTGAGTCAAAACTTCCAGGGTCTGGCCTCCCAGTTATTTCTCTTACACACTGAAGCACAGTAAAACTTCAAAAAGAGGTTTCCACATGACAATTATCACAACTAAGCCTTAGACATAGTTACATAGGAACTCTCTTGCAAATCAGCAAAGCATCTGTGGCCTTTACAATAAGAATCAGTTCTATTGACTGATGGGCAGTGCTCAGGGTAGGACTTAACAGGAAAGGATTTAATAAGCATAGGGATAGATCTGTTGGAGGATGATGTAGAGTACATGGGACCTCTTTCATAAGGATGGGTTCTATTCACTGAGAGCCTAAGCTCAGGATGAGGGACTAAACAATGCTTAGGGTATTGGGGGGATTCAGGAAGACTGGCTCCATAGAATAGCAAAAGATCATCACGTTATCAGACAACATCTACTCCTGTCTTCTGGGTGAATATGCATCAGTCAATTCTGTATTTAGAAGAAAAACTGCCTTTGTGTTGAACAAATCTTGGTTCTTCAATACTTTCTCTAAACTGTGCCTCCTACAGGATTTCGAATGTAGCCCATCAGAAATTTAAAGGATAAATATGTATAGGAGGTAAAATGGTGGTCTAACTTTCATTAGTACAGTGAGTTACATGGTTATCTATCAAGATAACTAAGTAAATGCAGAATGGATGGATTTAGTGGAACTTTGGAATGAAGCTAGCTCTTCATATTTTACAAGAAGATGAAAAATGTCTATTGAGCAAGGCATAATTCTTTAGGTTAAAATGATCCATGGTCATCCTTCTAAGCATTTTTGTCAATTATCAATTAAATGACAAGTTCAACTACTTGTGAAATAGCCTTTTGTGTGTGTGTGTGTGTTTTGTCTACATATATAGCTGTGGGACGCATGCATGTGGTGACCATGGGGGACAAAAGTAGAGATGAAATTCCCCACAACTGGAGTTACAAAGGATTTGTGAGCACCATGTGGGTGCTGAGAACCAAACCCAGGTCCTAGGATCAAACCCAAGTCCTATGGACAAGAAGACAGTTCCCTTTACACCTGAGCCATCTCTCTAGCCTGGAATAACTCTTTATGAAACTCATATTTATAAAAAGTACACTTTAACTCTGCAAACATCTACTTCAAATTAGTATCATGCTTTATTTTTATTATTAATTTTAATGTACATATTCTTTAAACATGAATTTTAGCTAGCAAATATAATAGTGTTGGGATTGTTTAAAAGTACCCTTTTTAAGGTACTTTTTTATAAACACAATTTTTTTATTTTATAAACACAATTCTGAAATTTCTGAGAATTCTCGGTAATGGTGATTTATTTTCCCCAGATCCCAAAGAATACTATGTCAGGAATTTGAAAGCACTGAGAAATTTTCTTCTTCCACTGTGTATTCTAAAATGTATAATTGTTGTTGAATAAAAGTACTTGTGATTTAGGATAGAACAAACTTGAACATCTACTTTGAAAATTTCTTGCCTCGACTCATATTGCTTAGAAAGTAAAATTTAGTGGAATAATAATTCAGACATTTTCATATTATTAAAATGTCTGTGTTCAATGAATTACCTGTTTTCCTCTTCTGGGGAGACCCATAGAAAAAATGGGAACTAGGAACAAGAGCCTGAACCACAGATAGTGTCACAGAATGAAGAATGCCTCAAACAAGCAAAACGGTCATCAACTTTGTTGTTTGATTTGTTTTCTTACTAATTCTTTTCTTTGCATTCTCTGAAAATAAAACGGCCAATGCCTGGACCTTAGTTTCATTTGGGGGGAGTTTTATTTTGCAATTAATCTCTTTAAAAGTGTATCACCCCTCCATGTCAAGAATGCAGAAAATAGAAATTTTCAAGCTCTCTAGTCAAGAGTCTTGCTGTTTTCATAAGCCAGGGAAATAACATAAAACTTTCCCAAATAAAACAGCACAAAGGGGAAATACTTAAGTTATTCCCCGCTAAGTATTAAAAGAGTGAACCCCCACAGTAGCGTGATGGTGGCAGAGTCAAGCCATGCTGCATGTGGGGACATTTGGACAGTGCCATTTCATACCTCTCCTGAGCATTCAGCCAACTGGCTGGGGTCACACATGGGCTTCACAAAAAAATTCTATCCACAGGAAAGAATTTAGGGCCCCTTTATCACTGCATCACAGACCCCTACTTATTAGCATCTGCTATTTTCTCTTCAGAACATGTGAGAGAAGCTGCAGTCTTATTACAGATCACCTCTCTTCCTGAAACCTGCGCGCAATCCCCTGTCTGTTGCAGGGAGTTTTGATTATTGACAGCTGCTCTTTCCTGGTAGATGCTGTCTCTGTAATCTCTATTTGCTGCCACACTTTAGTTTGCCCTTCTCACCCCGTGATCTTCAGTGCTGGGCTGTGGACCAGTCGGATATGCCTTTGCTTTGCCGACCTTAATGAAAATCATTCACCTGCCCCAACACAGAGTAACTGGCCTCGATCCTAATGATAGCTTGATCCTTATAATATCTCTACCTCCGCATGCCAAGGTGGGCTATGAACTCTCAGAGTCCCTGATAACATAAAAATGGTGTTAGGAAAGAGATGTAAACACAATCAGTTGTCTTGCATTTTTCTTTTTTTCTTTTTCTTCCCCACAATATGACAGGCAAGGATGTAAAACAAGATCTCATGTTCATTATTTCCTGGCCCAAAAAATTGCAAGGAGATGCAAGACAAGGAAAGAACATTTTTATTTGCTATGGTAACTACACCGTGGGAAAACAGTAATACAGCAAATGTTTTCTACTGAATGGCAGGTGGTGGATGAAAAATTAATAGTTTACCTTTAGTGGACAAAGAAATAGAAGTGAAGCAGAGTTTGACAGCCCGGAAAGGTCATTTTCAGCTCAATTTCCTTCACATAGGAAAGCAATGCTGATAACATTCAGAACTGGTTGGATTTCTCAATTATTTGCCACCTTTTCTAACCTGTTCTTCTTAGGGGATGAATGAGACATTCCCTAAGAAACAGTCCATGATTGTAACAGCCTTGCCTTCTTTCCAAACAAGAAGAGGCCAGGATTAGCTTGGGTTTTCCAACTCACTTTCTGAAATCTGATCTACCCACTGTTAGGGCAGTTTGCATAACATGTCTCTTTAAAAGTTTAGATACATGCAAGGCACACCATCTTATTTGAAGGAGCCAGATAAATTTGCAGGCCCTCGTTACAATAAAGGCACAGAATTTCTCCAATATTGTCATCTCATCTCATTCCTACAGAGCCACAGGACAGTAGAGATATGCTAGTCCTCAAAGACTATACAGTAATCCCTTTATCTTGCACAGTAGGAAACCAGTGACCAGCCAAAGTCATGCAGACAGCATATGGTAAAAGGGGCAACTGACATGCTGTGTCTTGTCTAGGGTTCTTTTATTGGTGCAGGGAGGCACAGGGAAGAACTTTAGTTTATAATGTGTAGGTTAGGGTCAAAAGTGGAGAACAGAAAGAACTCCGGTTGATTTCCCATCTCCACATTCCAGCTAGGGCCCTATCAACAGTTCCTACCTTCACATGAATCCTAACTTTGCACTGTGAGGAATCAGGTATATTTGGCCTCCTGAAATGACTGCTGCTGATTCTCATGTCAAAGCCAATGAGGGGGAGTTATATGTAGCTTTGTAACTATGGTGTTCATTATGGTGTATCAAACCTTTTCATCATTTCTCAAAATGTATATGTGAAAAAAATTATAGAATATGCCTTTAAATGTGAAACTGGGTATCCTATCATTTATATGTGACTTCCTGTTAAGTGGTCCCTGAATGAAAAGCAGCTAAGGTAGGTGGCAGGGCTTGACATCTATTAAGCCTCTAATTCTTCCATAATAACATAGAAAAGTGAGATCCTCCACAGACACCAAAATAAGCAAAATGCCTCCCATAACTTCTAAATCTCCATCACAGAAATTACGAACCACATAGATAAAAGTCATAAAGACCGCCCTTTCTGATCATAACACCTACCCCATGGACAGGCCCTTCCCACACATGCCCCTGAACTTCTTACCCTCTTCAGTCCCATACCCAACAAGAGTCACTCATGGAGTTTGTCTTCCTATACACAGTGATCAAGTAACAGTGTAACTAAAAATCTCATACACACCTTGACTGACAGCATTTCCCATATTACACAATTTCAACAGAAAAAGTAGCAGTGACCCCCATGCTTGAATGCTAATGACAGTGATGAGAATGGAAAGGAGTTTGATTACAACATTTTCCTATGATTAAAAGGACATTAAGCAATAATTGCCTCCAAATGCTTGGTTGCTGTTAACAAATTCATCCTAATAACTTTAGACTCTAAAAGAAATTTGGAGAGATTTAGAAGATTAAGATAATAAAATCCAATATGCTTTTTATATACAAGTGGATTGAAAGATAAAAGTGAGCTGACAAACTATAAGAACATCCACCTTAAAGAGATTGCTTTTTATAAAACTCATTATATTCCTTAGTTTCTTATTTTAAGGCTTATAAGAGTATGTTTCAAAATTTAAAAGTTATTTTTCTATCGCTTAAAGGAACATAGCTACAAAATTGGAGGTTTTTTTCTCTATAGTTCTATCAGGCTCCACAGTCAATATCATTTCATGCCTCATTCCTAGAGCAGGGCATTTCATCTGCAACCTGATATGTGAGACACATGTACCTTCCTTGGTCACAGCCATGAAGAATGTATTTTAACCTCAATGGAAACACTTCAAAAATGCACATTAACTAATTTGTAATGCAGGAACATACATCTGAATTTTGAAAGCACTCAGTATCAAGGAGCACAGCAAAAAAAGAAAAGCATAAACTTTATGTTCAGAAATAAAATTTTTGTGTTAATGTACAGGAAATCAAAACACAAGATGTGTGTCTGTGTGTGCCTACAAATGAACATCCAAGGTACAACTAGAGAAATAGTTCTGTAGAAATGTCATGCATGACCTAGATTTTTTACTAGATTCCATTTTGTGGTTTCCTGGAAAGCAACTGACTTTGTAAGGGTGCAGAACTTAAAAAATTATTATTAAAAGATCAGAATGCAGAATAACCTAGATACTCATAATGTATCTTCAATTTTTAAATAATGGTATGTTATTTGGCTATAACAATACTAAGCTAATATTGAAAGAAATCTATAACTCTACAATGGAAACCAATGGTTTTTAGGGCATAATCGACAAGGCCAAGAGAAAATATGCTGCAAACTATCTTACTATGATCTAATCTTCAAATGACATAATGACCCTGAATGGTTCACATAGTCCTTTCAATAATTTTTACTTTAACACATAAAATTATTGGCTTTCATTGAATGCTTCATATATGTTTCTGTGTCTTTTATAGTACAGAGGTCAAACATACAAAAAATACAAAACCAAAATTTCTTTATGACATTATATGAAAATGTTGCAAAAGAATCACTTTATTGGAGATCAACAGTCAGAATATTAAGACATTATATGTTTAACATAATGTAGCAGTGGATAATATGACTATAGTCTAAATTTGAAACCTGGGTCCTTACCATGGGTGATATGCTCTGTGAGCTGCAGCCACTTCGACCTTGGTATGGGTGCATATAGTTCTGGTACAGTTGCATGCCATACTGCAGAGCAGACACACACACACAAAAAGCAAAAACATGTTCTCAAGATTATCAAGTCACTGAATTTCTACACTTCCATGGTTATACATTATCAACACAAAAAGGAATTGTAACATTTTCTTTTTTACAATTTTTAAGTGTTCTTTTCTCATACAATCCATGCCAACCACAGTTTCCTGTCCCTCTACTCCTCCCAGGTCCCTGCCATCTCTCAACTCCTCCAGATCCACTCCTCTTCCATTTCCCTTCTGAGAGAGAGGGGAAAAGGGGGTACTTCCAGAGATATCAGTCGAACATGGTTTAAGTTACAAGATTAGGGCTGGGTGAGACAACCTAGTAGAAGGAAAAGGGTCCCAAGAGTAGGCAAGAGAGTCAGAGACACCCTTACTCCCACTGTCAAGAGTCTCCCTAAAACACCAAGTCAACAACCACATAATATATAGAGAGGACCTAGTACAGATCCATACAGGCTCTGTGATTTACACTTAAGTCTCTCTAAGCCCCCATGAACACTAATCGTGTTATCCCAGTATCTTCCACCTCTCTCTCACCACTCTTCTGTGGGGTTCACTCCTCCATTTCTGGTGAGGGTACAAACTTGTTCAGCCACTATGCAAATCAATATGGTGGTTCCTCAGAAAACTGGGAATCTATTGGTCTACATCAAGACACAGCTACAGCACTCTTGGGCATATATACATAGGATACTCCATCCTACCACAAGGACACTTGCTCAGTTATGTTCGAAGGAGCTTTATTCATAACAGCCAGAAACTGAAACAACTTAAATGTTCCTCAACTGAAGAATGGGTAAAGAAAATACGGTGTATTTATACAGTGGAGTATTACTCGGCTGTTTAAAAAAACAACAACAACAATATCATAAAATTGGCAGGCAAATGGATGGAACCAGAAAAAAATTCATCCAGAGTTAGGTAACCCAGACCCAGGAAGACCAACTTGGTATGTACTCACTTATAAGTGGTTATTATCTGTTAAGTAAAGAATAATCAAGCTATAATTCACAGACCCGGACAGGGTAGGTAACAAGAAGGGCTCTAGGGTGAACAAATGGATGACATTTTCTTAAAACAAGTAAGCAACCAAATTTTTGACATATTAACTTCTGAGTTTTAAAAGGATACATTTAAAAAGGAAGTGTTTTTACTTAGACCCAAAGCTTTTAGTGTACCTCAATAGAACAAAGCTCTAAAATTCACATTTCTCCTTGAAGCCAAATTGTAGTATAAGCATTGTGAGTGGTACACCACCTAGTGATACTGCTGACTTAGAAAATACAGTATCCTTTTGGGAACAATGATATTTTTAAAACCTTATACATCCTAAGCATTACTGAAAAATTCAGGCCCTCAGATGAGTTTTGCTTCATTGATTAAGTAAATTATAAATTTGGTCCTATGTGGATAACATATTTAGCAGTACATTTTCTTCCATGAATATTTATCTGCATGTTCATGTGGTCTGTGTCTATCCACTCACCCGTGTGTGTGTGTGTGTGTGTGTATGTGTGTGTGTGTGTGTGTGTGTGTGTGTTTCGGTATTGTCTAGAGATCAACCTTAGATGTATTACTCAGCTAAATTACCTCTTCCTCCTCCTCCCCTTCCTCTTCCTTCTCCTCCACCTCCTTTTTAGGAAAAAAAAAGCCACATTCTGTCCAAGAACTAACCAAGTCAGCAAAATTGGCTGACCAGCAAGCCCCAAGCCTGCCTCTGCCTTCCCAGTGGTGGTATTACAAATGCATGCCTTCAAGCCAGCCTTCTCTCACCTGGATCCTGGGAATCCCATTAATCTAGTGAATCAGGTCCTCCCGCTTATAAAATCACTTCATCAGAGGAATTATCACCAAGCCTATGTTTTTCTTTATGTATTCTTATGGTATTTACTTTTTATCTCTTGCATCAAAGATGTGGGAAATGAATTGGATTTCAGAGTTTCAATATTTCAAAGGTAAATGATGGTAGTGTCTTTCCTTTCAGGAGGCAGTATCATGGAGAATTAACTGGAAGCCTACTGTGGGAAAGTAGGCCAGGATCATATACTCAAGAAACAAGCATACAAACTGCTATGAGTAAACCCATTCTGGAGATGCCTGCTTAAGAATCCAGATTGCTTTCCCCTTGAATTTGTCACTTAGCTAAAGAAAAGAAAGCAATGTGATGGCCAGATTTACTGATATAATTACTCTAGCACACTATTCAAACATCACCATTGCATGGAGCTCTAATAAAGCTTCATTAGGTCCTAGCACCTGATTTCTAACATAGGCCTCCACCTTCCTCCTGGAACCAACTTATGTCACAGTCACCACCTACAAATAACTCTTGCAGCATCTGAGCCAGCAGTGCTATGCAGCAGAGGGAATCTAGACAAGAAGGTGTAGTCAGGCATGGCATGTAAGGACAACAGCTTTGGGAAGCAAAATGCACCATCAGCTGCAGGTTGAAGATCATTTCTTGTCTGTTTCATTTTGAAGAGAAGAATGACCAACACACAATTACCTCTGAGAGCAGTACAACCATCAAACACATGATACCTACCTCTTTGGTTTGGGGAAGCCTTGACCTTACATCCTAGGGCCAGAGTAGCTCGGGTCTACCTAGCTGGCTTGGGGTCTTTCTTAAAAGCTAGCTGCAGATCTTTTGTGGGTTTCCCAGGTTGGGCCACCTTCTTTCACTCCATCTGCCTATCTAGGCCAGGTCTCTGTGTCTCCCAGAGGCAAGTGTGAGCTTATGTCTGCCTGCACAATATTAGGAAACCTCTGCCTTGAGGGTCACATACATTAAATTGTTTTCTGAGCTAAGAAAAAACGAGACAGTGGGGGTTAGAAAACATAGAATCAAGAAATCAAATCTTAACCATAGGATGAATTCCAGAACAGCTATTTTTCTACTAAAATAGTTCCTTAAAGTAGTTCCCACAAAGTGAATATATTTGGTAATTAGGAAAAAATTGCCAGAGAGGAGAATTACTGTTCCCAAGATTTTGATTTTAACATGAATCTAAACCCATTCTCATTTAAAATCCTTCATGCTGACTCCTTTATCCAATTATTTCTCAACTTTTTAAAAAATTGTTTTAATTTAGAGTTTGATTGACATTAATGGGAGCTAATGAAATTTAACTTCAAGCCAACAATAACTTCACAAAGAAAAGTAGAGTAGCTTAATTCCTAGACACATTCATTTTAGAGAACAGATAGTAACCTCAAACCAACACTTTCACAAGAAACATGCTGCTTGGTCACCTTTTATTTATCAGCATTGAAAAGCCAGCTACCTACTAATAAGACAGTTTTCTTCAAAGATGTATTGTCCCTGATCCTGGCAGTGCCTCTGTGCTGTTGGGGGTCTTTAGAAATCCTTTAACTCTGGCCGAGGGGTAGGGCATGGGTCACCTCAATGCTTGCCTGTCCCATGGAGGAGCAGATAGGCACCAAACTAGGCTAGAGTGGAGCTGGCTGGGTTCTAATTGATGGGAACGGAAAGAGCTGACACTTATCCAGGATACAGCACAATATGGAGCCTCATTTCTCAGCCTCGGGTTTTCTATAATTCTTTATGTAACTAGAGTATTTTCCATAAAGAAAAGGAATGCCTCCTGTGTTGCGAGCACACGTGTGTGTGTGTGGGGGGGGTTGCATGTAGATGAGTGTACACATGTGGGCATGCATATGTTTGGAAACCAGGGCTTCATGTCTTGTGACTTCCTCAATTGCTTTCCATTTTAGTTTTAGACACATAATCTCACTTTGACCTGAAAGCTCCTAAAGTCGCTAGACTAGTTAGCCAGCATGTCCCAAAGACGTTTGTATCTGATCCTTCAGTGTTAGGATAACAAACACACCGCTGATCAAAATATAAAAACAACTCAAATGTCCATCAGTGGCTAAGCAAATGCCTGTGTTGAAGGGCACACATATCATTTCATTCCCAGAATGGATGAACTCATAACGACAGCTCAGACCGGTGACTACCACGGCCTGGGAGAAACTGCTTGACAATAACATTATCTTCTTTTGAAGCTAAATGAAAGGTATGGTTGCACAACATGCTGAATGCGTTAAACATAGATTTTTTTCCATATTAAGATAACGACAAATTTGAACTCAATAAAAACATTGAAAACTGCCAAATCAAGCTTTCCCCTCACCTAGCATGACACCTGATCCAGTTATCTCTGTTCTGCTGTCTTCATTCTGATCTCACTCCCACTCAGGGTGCCAGAGATTTGTTAACACATTATAATGATAGTTAAAAACAGAATGACAAAGACAGGAAGGAAAACAGCGACCTAGAACATACATTAACTGTAAACCAAGAGGAGAAACTTACTTTTGCCTCTGCCTCAGCGGAAAGAAAAGGGGGACACTCAAAGATTCCAAACAAGATGCAGTTTTCTCTAATTTTCATTTCTAAATACATTCAAAAGCTGTCTTTGGTATATACTTTGTTATCTAATTCTCTTTCTGATAACATATGAAGTGATATGATGCATGATATTTTGTGGTACATGATATGACATAATTAATGTAATACACGTGATATACACTGGAAAATTATACCAGTTCTCAGGTATGAATTATGAAGACTGCCTCAGAAAATCCTGAAACTTCCAATTTATGAGAAAGATTCAAGGATGGTAGTAAATCCCATGTTTGTAAAGTCCGGTAGCAATGGGGAACTGACTAACACGGACAGGCACATTCTTTGGGTTGGCCTCTTCCAATGAAAAGCACTTTTTTGTACTTTCCCCTTTTGTTACTAACATAGCAGTATTTTCAAAAAGAAATGGTTGACTGCTTTTCTGATTATGGCGTTAAAGTTGTGATAAACTTACTGGCATATGCGCTTTCAAAATAATTGTGCCTACTTTTTTTTTTACCTATTTATTCATTAACTGTGTGCTTGCATGTGCATGAGCCCATACGCATGCTCTAGCGTGCACGTGTGTGGCCAGAGGACAACTTGTGGAAGTGGGTTTGCTCTTTCTACCACATGGGTCTCTGGGATCAAACTCAGTTAATCTTAGTGGCCCCTAAGTATGTGTTTTCAATGCAATCCTGGAAGAAATCAGTTCTGTATCTTTCCTATTTTTATCGACCTTTAGAACTGTCTAACTCTTTTCAACAGGTTCATCAAGAATTTACACTTACATAATTTTAATTTTAACATGACCTACAAGTGACGTTCTTAAAACATACTCAAAACAAAATGTATACAATAATTTCAGTTACACTTAAACTAGGAAGCAGATGAAACTGGGAGAAGGAGAGTCTGTGTTGTTTAAGGGTGTCAACCACACTCTTGTGTAAAGTCACACATTTCAGAATACTAGGACAGCACAAGGTAGCCTTTATGCAGGCGGGGGGGGGGGGGGGAAGGACAAAAACATTGACTTGGAACCAAAGCAGTGTGGATCCAGCAAGAGTTGGGGAGAGATGGTGAATATGATGAAAAGATGTAGGAAATTATCAAAGAACACACACACACACACACAAACACACACACCACAAATTATTTCCAATTAGCAATACCCAGGGGGAAATTTTTAAAATACAATTGCCTGTGGGTTTGGAGCCATTTTATAAACACAGACCAAGCTGCATACAGGAGACATGTCACCAGCTACACAGGGGACACACACACACACACACACACACACACACACAACTCACAAGAGTAAAGAGTCATTTCTAGAAACAGAATACTTATTTCACACACAGATCATGGCTACGCTCTATTCTGTATGATGGTCTCTTGAACTAAAGAGAAAGAGAGCACATTTGGTGGTGGTTACTTTTCTTCTTTCTCATACAGACACACAGATTAGAACAACACCTTCATATTTGAAAACAGAGGGATCTCAGAGCATTTACTAGGCACCCACCCCTCTTGAAAGATTACCTTAAGCAATCTAATGGCGGTCACCCAGCACATCCTGCTCTGCTCTTCTTCGGCACAGAGCATTCTCAGGTCCCGGGGCCCTCCTGCTTTGTTAGGCTAGAAGGCCACAGCACATTGTTTATTGTTAATGCAAATCTTGAAGGTAACACCTGTTGAAATAAAAGCCACTAAAATTCTCCTATACATAAGAGAACTCTGCCTCTTTTTAAAAGAAACTGAGTGAAACCCAAGCTTATCTAGAAGATGGAGTCTTACTTTGCTCATCTATCAAAACATAAAGCCTGTACCTTAAAGCAGAATCCGTAGACAGTTGGCGCTCCGTGTTTTTTTCTGCCTGCCAGTGACATGTAAACATTACTAGTGCTGAATTCGCTGAAAAACTGCAAATGCCGTGGTTCCTTTAAAAAACATACATGTGAATGTTGAAACAGATGCATGGTTTCACAATATCTTTTGCCTTTCTTATATTACACAATTTATAACTTGAACAAAAGAAAAAAACTTGCCTCAAACAATATTCCAGTGCAACGTCACACAAACAAAAGGAAGGGGGTTGCCATTTCCCTAAATAACCAGGAGCTGTGTGCAATTTCATTTAAATTGACAGGTGACAATTTGTTTATGATCTTAGACAGACAAATTCCTATTTTAAGTTTCCTATTCTCATTAACCATCATGTCAGACTAAAATAGAAAAGAGAAGGCCTCGAAGGCTTTTAGAAGTGTTTCCCTCATCTCAGCCCAAGTGGCAGGTTCTACAAGAGAAGGAAGTTTGGAAAATAGGGAAAGTAAGAGAAAATCTCTGCTTCTGGCAGACACAGCCATCCCTCACATCCTTGTGCTGCCTGGCAGCAGGCTGTGTGGCCATCTTGATCCACAAAAGGAGAGGAGCCTGCAGAGACGAGTTCAAGGAAATTACCTGGGATGGAATGTGTCTGATTGTCAGGGCAAAGGGAAATCGTGAGCTGCTATTTCTTCTCTGGAAAATCCAAGAGATTTGCAGCTGGCCATGGGAAATCACTAGGTCACATCATTCTGTGATAGGTTAATAACTTGGAGAAGTGCTTAATTCTGAGGTTGACTATATAATCAAAACTGGCCAAAATGCATTTGTTCTCCAAAACCTTGTTACTAGCAGTGTGGTCACTGAACCACAGGACCTGCCTCACCTGGGAGCTTGTTAGAAATGCAAAACTTCAGGGTCCTTGCAGAGCCCACTGAATCAATATCTGCATTTTAACAAGATCCCAGGTGATCTTCTATGCAGTGTTGAGCAGCACACACACACACACACACACACACACACACACACACACTCACACACATACACATTCACGCACACACACACACACACACACACACACACACACACACACCACACCAAATACATTCAGCAATGTGAACAAACTTGTCCAATTTGGAATGAATTTCATTGTCATTTACCAGTAAGCTATTCCAACTCAAAAGATGTCATTTCATGTCACTATTCCTTAGCATTTTAATCTAAGAAGTGTCCTTCTTTGAAGAATAAAGCAGAAATTTTAAATTATTTATTTATTCATTGTGGGTTTTTGAGACAAAGTCTATACAGTCCCGGCTATCCTGGAACTCACTGTATAGATAAGGCTGGCCTTGAACTCACCAAGATCCTCCTGACTCTGCCTCACAGTTCTGGGATTAAAGGTGTGTACCACTATGCCTAGACTTAAAATATTTTTTAAAGAAAACCTTTGTTGTGGAATAATCTTTTTGCACACTGTGAAGATGTGTCACTTGGATTGTTTTAATAATAAGTTGAATGGCCAATAGCTAGGCAGGATTTCCAGGTAGAGAAGACTCTGAGAACAAGAATGTAGGGAGACACCAGGGACCCAGAGCAAGCAGCATGAGCTTTACAAAATAAAGGTAACCGAGCCACATAAAAGAATGTAGATTAAAAGATATGGGCTAATTTCAGTTATGATAACAAGTTAGAAACAAGCCTAAACTGTTATTTGGGAGCTGGCAGGTTGAACAAAAAAGACACACTACAAACTTTTTTTAAAGAAAATATTAAAATGAGGGATTGAAATAGAGGTTTTCCTACTGTTGTGACATTTTAGAATATATATTCACTAACAGAACCTAATTTGATAATAAAAATGCATACTAACAGGCTGTATAGATTTAGTTACCAAAATCTACTGGCAAATGTACATAAGCTTATATAAGGAGGGAGAAGGAAGGGTGGCACCTAGGGTTTTCACTGACATGTAATTCACAGACATATTGCCAAGCCGTATGATAGTGGTTAGTAACTCCCATGCAACCTTCACTTCCTTGGAAGTGAAAGTATTCAACCAAGACCCCCTCGTAGGAAAAATAAGAAACAAAAATGGGAAATAGTCTCCTTAATAGGTAGGCATGCCATGTAGTACATTGGATAGCATATGTATTAAGGTCTAAAAAAACTGAAGTCTCTTATATCTCTAATTTTTTTCTTAGTGGGTGAATTTAGAATTATCTCCATGTGTAAATTACATTTGTGTGTGTGTGCGTGTGTGTGTGTTTGTACACCACAGTGTGCTTTTGGAGGTTTCAAAGGAAAACTTGTGGGAGTCAGTTCTCTGCTTCCAACATGTGAATTTAAACAATCTTGAACTCAGTTTGCTAGGCTTTAACAGTGAAGGTCTTTACTCACCGAGCCATTTCACCTGCCTCATATGTGGATGAGAAGAACATTATGATATCAGTTGACAGCCAACATTGAAAATATTACCACAGTTCTTATGATAGATTTTTTTATTTTTGCCTGTCACTAGAGACTGGTTGTATAAACAACCAAAAAAATTAAAAATAAATTTAAAAAGGTGTAGGAGTTGGAGAGATGATTCAGCAGTTAAGAGTATTCACTGCTCTTGTAGAGGACCTGGCTTCACTTCCCAGCTCCTAAGTGGTGGCAAACAACTGGCTATAGCTCCAGTTCCAGGAGACTCAACTTTCTGAGCCTACAGGGTCCTGCATGTATGTGGTATACACATATACACTCAGTCACACAGCACAATGTACACATAAAATGAAATAAATGGTTTTTTTTAAAGAAAAACTGTAAATCCTAATAGGCTTCAAAATCTGAAGCCTCAGATGAGGAAGAAGAACCAGAAAATAGATTTGTAGTGGGAGGAAATGGGGCCTTTGACATGGGAATAAGAACATCCAGGATCAACGAATGCTACAGTCGATAAATCAGTATAAAGATCAAAGAGTTTTAAAAAAGCTAAAAAAAGCAGATGACTAGGATTCAGACAAATTTCCAACTCTTGACATCAGCTAAGAAAGAAATCACCATAACAAAGCTGAATGTGATCTCATACAGCTAATAGATAGTTCATAACATACCCCAGATACCCTGGCTTACCTTTGATGTGCCTTTAGTAGAAAAATATAAACCAGATCGTCTCAGAAAACAGTAAACTTTTTTCCAAGACTTCTTTCCCTGTTCCTTTACATGTAAGAAGCCATGGATTTCGGGATAGGTGCTTGAGCTTAAAAACATCTGGAAGACAGATTGGATGCATTCATAATATTATGGAAACAATGATGCCAATAATCATTTACCTGTCAGACATGAACAAGCAAAATCAAGCAGTATCAATGGTGTTTGTACTGTACAGAAGTTACAATGGATACTTGATAGAACTCTTATCAAAAACCGGGCACACGTTCCAAATCAAGGTTCTTCAGAAATTTTACACTGAAAGTAATCAATAAATGGACAAAAACCAAAATCAGAAGTTCTTTGAATTTCTACTTGAAAGTGGTCATTATCTAGGTAATTATGTTCTGATATTTTTCATCTTTCTTATAGATTCCCAAACAAATCATTTGCCTGTAAAGGATATCATGCAATGCAATAAGCTGTAGGACCACTATCTTGACATCACTCATTCCACAGACAGAGGATTCAAGTTTACCTCCTTAGTAAGGATAAAGCATGCAATCCCTGCTTGTCTCCTGTGATTTTCGTTTTTGGTGGGCATGGTATTTTCTAGCTCTCATTCTCTTCAGCAGTGGGATCTTGGCATTGAGCCATGGAGAGGTGGCATATGTTTCTCACACCCAAATCTTCATAAATCTGTCACCCTTACAATTTATTTGGAGTGACATTGCAAGTTCTAGGCGGAGTCTTAGCTTGATGTTTCCATGAATTGATTCATAAAACAAGCTCTCAGATTTAAAAAAAAAATGGTTACCTGAGACCACCATGGGCAAGAAGCCTAATGTAAGTGGGAAAGCCCTGGAGGATGAGAGAGTGAAAGGCCAGCTCTGAAGAAGAGGCTCAGCCTCCAGCCACTGAGCCAAACAGCTACAGAACTGAGCCAGCCAGAAAACTCTAACCCAGCTCTTGCCCCGCAAAGTCACTGGTAAAATGCAAGCAGGTACTTTAAGCCATTAAGATTAGATTTGGACGAGATTGTTACGAAGCAGTAATTAGTTGAGACAATGGGCATGTGTTGCTGGGGAAAAGAAAAAGGACAGATATAAGTGGCTATGCCGCGACCTTAATAAGATAGTGAAAATGCATTAGTGATTCCTAAACGAAAACAGAAATCCCTATGAGTACACAGACACAAAAATGGAAAAATTTAAAGGAGCAGAAATCATTAACTAAAGCAGGCTAATATATCCTAAAGGCCTGTAATACATTCAGGGAAATGCTGATAGGAGATATTTACATTTTTAAGTAAATCACTAAAAAAATTGCTGCAATGAGCCATTAATTAATTGATATGCAAAACAGGCAAGAAGGTTTTTTAGTTTGAGTGCTTTCCAAGTTATTAAACCAAACCAATTAAATTTTTAAAGAAGAGTCATAGGGGTCACACTAGAAAGAGAAGAAACCTTTTAAAAAGTAGAAACATTGCCTCAGTGGAGAGGAGAGGTCAGGGCGTGCACTGGACTATCTGATTCTAAAGCCTGTGATTTTCCTTTTTATTATAATTTAACATTAAAGCAAGAGAATCATGGGAAAGGACAATTTAGGAAATGGGGTAGAAAAAAAAAAACTCCTTCCCGCCGCCACATCACACAAATCAGTGAAGAGTCCACAGGCAAAACTTTGGGGTTATACACTTATACCACAAGGGGTGCCTTTATGAGACTCTGCAGCATGGAAGCTGCTTGTAGAAAAAGAAATTTTCTTGAAACTAACAATATTTATCAAATATTCTGAAGGGTAAAAATAAAACACACACTATTTAAAAATCCGCAGAAAAATCTGTGCTAAACAAAAGGCATGCTATAAACACTGGACCAGAGAACACTGAATTTGTGAACACCCAGATTTAGCTTAAACAGAACTAACGAAACCGTGAAAAACAATTGTGGGTAACAGATCTCTTAATCTATTGAAAATAAAATTACCCAAACACTTGACTGACTGACTGTAAAGACAAAGTCTTAATAAATGATCATTCCAAGCCACAGCCAGGGTGACAGAAATGAGCTCACTAGCCATAAGGTTAACTTTATGGAAATGCTAAGAATGATTTAGGATTGCACATTTGTGTTTCCCTCACACCACTGCAAGTGCTGGCTCATGGAATGGATGCATTGCATACCCCTTCTCTTCTATTCATTTAACTGCTATGCATTTTCTCGCAAATAGCATTGAGGCTATTTATTACAAAAAGTATACTAAGTATCTACCGGCAAAATACCTGCAGTTTACTGGGAAGTGCATTTTTTTCAAAAGATGCACATTTTTTAGTACAAATAGCATGCAAGTTTTCTTTCACACACACACACACAAAACATTTTTAACTTTGAAAATTCTTTACAATCAGATTGAAATATTATTGATTTTTTTATTTAGTAAATGTTTTATTCAGGTTGTTTTTCCTTTTGATCTTCAGGAAAAATGAATCATGCAGGCCACAACATTTCATAATTCTGGCAAAAATTGAGGAAGTTAAGTAACCAGAGTTTCCATTTTGGTATTCTTACACATTTTAATGAAAACATTTTACCTGCAGGATTTGTGTAGGGGATCTGTCACCATTGGTCTCAGCTGCAAAGGACACCATGTTCTCTGGAAAGAAATACTGACCAAAGACACAAGTTAAATCAGTCCCACACCTCTGCCAGGAAAGATCCAACAGTGACCATTATAGTAACCAAAAGTAAAATGACTTTAAACCATCATGTTTAAAATTCCTACAAAATAATTTGGAAAAAATATGCCATTCCTGAACCTAAATTAAATGGCTTCTTAGTGGACCCAGGTGACAGTGGGTCCCCAGATCAGCAGATATCCCAGTCATACTCACAGAGAAATCCTAGCCCTTGAGTTTATAGTGGGTTTGCTCCAATCTCTTCCTTCAGTCCCACAGCCACCCTACCAGGTACTGGAAGAGCCCTAACCCATTTCATAAAGTCAAGACTCATAGGAGTAAGGGGCAAAGGCTGTGTCAAAAGTCATAGGCCAGAACACAAAATAGCCAGGACTCAGCTGGGAAGCTAAAAGGCCACTCATTTCTACCTACTGTTTCTCCAAACTTGTTTAATCATAAAATTCACCCCAGGAAGTTGTTTAAAATAGAAATTCCCTAGCTTCAATCTTGACTTTTCTGATTCAGTAGGTTTGAACAGGTCTTGAAGTCTGTGTTTTTAATAAGAACTGGGGCTCCCCAAGGTAAATTTCATGATAAGAAAAGTTTGGAAACACATATTCTACTTTATTTCCTCCAAGAGAGGGTTTGTCAACAGTCATCTACTAATACTGTGGTGGAAGACTTCTGCATTGTTGGGGTTGACCTGTGTGTTAGAGATGTTTAACACCTAGCTGTCTATCCTCCCGCAACAACTGCTCTCCCACTCACCCGTGCTGCGTGGATAAAAACGCCCCCACAGATTGTCACTCCACCCCCAAGCGAAGAACACTACTCAGATCTACAAAAATGAATGTCAAGCATTATTTAAATAAAAGTAAATAAAATAAAAAGTGTACACTAAGCCATATTTTTTAACTATAACCTTTAAATGAATGCCTTAACAAAGACTCCCAACAAGAAAATACTTTTCCTTTGAATCTAATTCTATTTCATCGTTATTAGAACTCTCATTTTCTTTGTCAAAGATCAACCCATTATGTTTCTATTAATAAGTTACAATAAAAGAGAACATAAGAGGTCTTCCAGGGTTTGAAAATATTCTATTATGGTGTGTATCATATATTTTTCATAAAGGATCGTTTCAATCCAATTATCCAAAACTTAGTATAAAAATACACCACAGCTGCAGAGACAAAAACAATTTAAAATAATGAGCCCAGAGGCAATTCTGACTTCTCCAAATCCGCAGACTTCATTAGGATGACACACGTTTACTTTCTTTTAAAGAGAACTGTAATGAACATAGTGTTTACTAGGTAATGTGCTGTTCTTTACCTCATTTCTACTTAGTTTAGAAGTTACTATGCTGAAAATAAATTAATTTAAAGAAAGATGCATATCAGTCTTAACTGTCTGGCAAAGCTACAATGCTTGCAACAATCATCAATGTACTTTAGATAACGCCTTCCTTTCCTTAATTCTATGAAATGTACTAAACTGTTATGTTCTGAATGATACTTGGGGACCTGTAACAATTCATTTTCTAAAGCAAATACAAATTTTCTTTGACTTTGTTTCTTAAAAGGCAGGAAAGAGAAGCAATAGCAAGAATCTCCAAATTGGCTTTCCCAATAGTTTGAAATTAAAGAACCAAATTCACTCTGTTCAGACTTTTTTTCAAAAATGTTACAGTGTTTTGTCTGTGAATGTAAACTGGCATGCATCAGGTTAGCTCACCACTGTTAAAGAAATCAGAGCACAAATCCAAAGCAACTAGCTCTATCTTATTTACAAAAATGCTCCTCTTCACATAAAAGTTAACTGAATCATTTAATTCCATAACTGTAAATGGAGAGTTCACTCACCATTGGGTTCTTAAAAAATTCATATTTGGCATAATTTTTCCTAAGATAGAGCTTATTTTCTTCTTCCATCCCCCAGTGAGACAGCACTTCAATCACCAGCTCATGGTCTTCTATTGTTCTTTCTGTGAGAATGTTTCAATGAGTATGTTGACAGACACATAAATAGTTCAACAGACAAACATGAAAATATACACAAACACAGCACACAAACATATAGAGTAAATTATGCAGCATTCACAATGCATTATTAAACAGCAAGTTTCATCTCAATTCTTAAATACCTACACTGGCAAGATTTCTTTTCAACTTTGAATTATTATATCGACTTTTATGCCAATGCAGTCATCTAAAAGGAAAATTACATAAAATATCACAAATGCCATTTTTGCTAATTCTCGCTCTCCTTTATTGCTATGTAAATTACAGTATAAGTTTGATAACAAATCTTATTAAGATGTGAGAGCTATTCTTTCTTTAACTCATCATGGTGCCAAAATTAAAATATTTGCTCCAGGTTTGAACAATTCACCTCATTAAGAGATGAAGAATTTTGACAGGTTCACTATGCATTTTAAGACACATAATCTGGGTAGATGAAAAAATTAAAACAGATGCTGTAAAGGAGAAATTTTCACTCAAGTGGATACAGTTTTTATGAATCTCAATTCCTCGTGGCACTTTAGGCTTTCAAAACTAATTCAAGGAAAATAGATCCTGTACTAACAAAGAAGATAATTACGTAAGGTAGGAAGGTACTTAGTAGAAAAGACATTAAATGAACCAAGCAGTGGTAACTTTAAAGAAGTCAAACACAACCAGCATAAAAGCTATTTTAATGCAAACTGTGATGGTGTTTGTGATTGTATTATTCATAATAACCCCAAACTGGAGACTACCCATATACCTCTTGACATGAAAATGATTTTTGTGAGAGCACACAAAAAGTATACTCTACAATAGTCCCAAACAGAAATCGTATAAGTGAAAGAAGATGTATATTGCATGAGTCCTCTCACACAAGGTTCAGAGTGAGGAAAATTTATCTATGTGGCTAGGAATAATAAAGATAGAAGGTGAATGGGGAGTGCATGAAGCAACTGGGTGAGTTCACAATTCTGTTTATTCCTGTAGATATTACTCAGGAACATGCAGTGTCTGAAAGTCACCAAGCTGCCCCCATGGGATGGGCTCACCTTTCTCAGTATAGCTCATTCTTCAACAAAAAGTCAGGAAATTTTAATTATGAAATTGCAAATAGAGTAGAGAAAGTCTAAAAAGGGGTGTGAACTCTTCAGTTCTTTTCATGTTTCTAGGGCCTTTTTGAAAAGAATCTGCATCTCAGAAGTTCAACACTTAGACAGGATCTGCGCCACACTGCAGGGAACTCTTGTAAGTAATGACTCTTGTAAGTGTGTTCTTCTGAAAGGAATTCATCTGGATGAATATGGATGAATTGCAGCAAGTGCTCATGGGCAAGCAGAATTCTGGCCTTAGACTGATCAGATACCATTGTTTCTGTCTCACCAGCCAGTTCCCTTCACTGCTTCCCTTTCCAAAAGCTCAGCTTTCAGCTTTACTCTTCCCTTTCTTCTCTAAATGAAGTCACTCTTTTCAACACATCCATTGAGTTCACTGAAGTGAAGACTCTTCCTAAAATTGCTCTCCCTGGTGTTGACCGTCTCCACCTACTCAAATACAGTCTGTTGAAAGCCAAGGTCCACACTATTTTAAAACAGCAAACACAGAATGATCATTCAATGCCACTCCTAATTGCACATCTGGCTCGAAGAAACAAAGAAATGATAGCTAAGATACTAGAAGATATTTGTGTCTAAAGGCAGAAACAACACCATATCCATGGGGAGGGGAGGTAAATAGACACACAAAATAGAAAACCAACCTTAAAAGAAATGAAGGTATGATGTACATTAAACATGAAAAACCCTAAAGATTCTGAACATCAGACACAAAAGACAAACACTATATGACCCCATGAAGGTACCAAGAACACCTCAATGCAAGTAACAGAAAATGGAATGGTAGTTTCCAGGGCTGGTGGTGAGGAGAAATAGAGCATCACTGCTTAACTACTAAGAATTTCAGTATTGGAAGAAAGAGTGTTCTGTAGACAAGTGTTGATTCTACAGGGCTTATGTGGCTTATAAGCCCACTGAACTGTTTTAACTGCATCCCACTTGCTCTTGAGTACAGAACTGATTATTTAAGTTGTAAGTACTAAAAACACAAAATTCAGTTAGGAAGTTGATTAGAGTTAACCAGGGCAGGTTAGATTAGATGATACAGATTAGATTTATGTGGTAACTGTGGGTTTTGTAAAAGGTAGGCAGGATCTGCGTACACCTTGAAGGTCTAAGCAGTGGGATGGGAGGGAATACTAGAAATGTGTGAAAAAGAGGGACAAGTCATGGAAGACACTGGTGTTCTTGTTCTAAGCTTAGAAGGATTGTATTAGTAAAGAGGAAATAGGGAGACTGAGACCAAGCTAGTGAGGTCCAGACATCAATGAACTACAGTACATTGCAGCAGTCTCTGGATACTACTGACTTCTGTTTATTGTTCCCACAAATCTATCTCATGCTTCTAAGTTAAAATAAGTACCCAAACTGCCCGTGGAGTGATTTCTCTTATTGGATGATGAATAAAACACCGACTGGTCAGTAGGCAGGAAGTACAGGTGGGGCTACCAGACAAGGAGAATGATGGGGTGAGGAGGCAAAGAAAAGTCGCGAGGAGATGTCATGCAGCCAAGGAAGGATTAACAGGTCCAGACCCTTCTCTGGTAAGATAAGACCACGTAGATTAATAGAAATTGGTTAATAATTAAGAGAGAGCTAGCCAGTAAAAAGCCTGAAACATCAGTCAAGCAGTTTCTAACTAATTTAAGTCTCTGTGTGTTTATTTGGGGCTAAACAGCTGCGGGACCAAGAGGGACAAAAACTCCATCTACAATGGAGTGTGCAACTGCCAAGATAAGAAATTCAGTGTGGCAATAATGATACCTATTTGCTGGCTTCAGCAACTTGTGTTTCTTTGTACAATTACCTGTCTATAACAATAAGGAAGGAGTTAATGCTCTACCCTGAATGTACAACAACACAGAGACAGAAAAGCAACAGACAGGCATTGTCTTGATAGTTAAACTTCAAGGTACATTTAACAGTCTTTGGTAAATATAATTGCTTGGGAAGAATCATGTCTAGCATGGTCCCCTGCTGCCTCACATCGGGATCCAAGCTTTCCTGAAAGGGGAGTTACAGATAAACAGATTGTGAAGGGAAGAGAGGGTCAAGTCAGATCCTGGATCATGTAGGAACCAATGACTCTATCTGCCCCCATTCAGGAACAGGGACACTTTCAGAGTGTCAGGCTCCCAGCAAGCTGAAATTCTCTGAGTGGGTGAAACCGTAGACTCACAAAGATTTTTTTAATCCTCAAGAAGCCATGTATCAAGCAGAAGCAAGAGCTGAGTGCAATACCAACTCACAGCTTCCCAGTATGCAGAAAGAGTAGGAAAGTGTTAAGTTCCCAGCAAGAAGATGGAAGAGCTGAAAAATAAAAAGACCATAAGCTTAAAAGCCCATGTGCTTCTCAGAAAGGAACTGTGCGACAAGCAGGAGCTTCCAGAATATGAAGAAAAACACTGACACAAAAATAAGACAAACACCTTAGTTGAGAATGATGTGTCCCACCAGGATGCTGGAAAAGTAAAAGGGGTCTCAATTGTCATATATAAACATTTCAAACCAAAGGCAACTCATGGCAGAACTTGAATTATTGATCCCAACAGAACAATCTGGACTGAAAACAAATACTATGAGGTTAAATTCTCTGCCTTTCTGGTGGTAGAGTCCAAAATTCATTCCAGTAGCAGAAAGAGATTGCAACTCTGCATCTCTCAATCTGTGATCATGTCACTGTTACATTTCATTTTTACAATACCCTAGGAAGATTGGATAATGTCCCTAACAACATCAGCGCCTAACTCCTAGAACCTGTAAATTTTATCCTACATGGGAAAGCCTTTGCAGATGGCTAATGACAAACATGGAGTTGAGGAATGGAGAGGCTCTCAATCTGTCTGTAAGCATCCTTGGAAACACAGACAGAAGGAGGTTTGATATAGACAACAAAGGGAATTGAAATGCAAAGCAGTGATTAAGTGATGTGACCACAAGCCAAGGAATATTAGCAACACCCAGCACCTAGAAGGGTAAATAGTCAGGTTCCCTTGAGCCATCCAAAGGAATGTGCCCCTCCAGAATTGTGGAAACACACCGCTCCAGCTGAAAACTCACCAAGTTTGTAGTAATCTGTTATGCATCCTTATGAAATTATTATAGCAACCTAACGAGCAAGTTATGTTTCTGTTTTAAAGATAGCCAACATACCCAGGTTGACTGAGCCCTTGTGCCTGACCCAAGCTGACAGCCTTTCTCCTGCAGGGCACTGCTTCCTATATGGAAATTTCCCCATAAGGCTCTTGCACTGCTAATTCTATAACCAGGGAAAGTATAAATCACTCCCTCGTTTCCTGTTGTTTAATTATCTGCTTCTTTTTTGCTTTGGAATATGTCCAATAAGTATTTGTTAATCTACTGAAAATAAACAATCATGTTCTAATTGTAAGGTGAATAAAAGTAGCAGTTGAATTTCAAGTTATCCAATCTTAACCTTCCATAAAAGTAATTTATATCATTTGAGTTTGGGATGCATTCAAAACTAAATACAAAAATGGGTTGAAAAAAATCAAGCTGTATTTGAATAGTCAGAGTGAATAAGAAACTAAAAAAAATAGCATGGAGTACATGGTCACCAAGCAGAATGTAGTCCGGTGTTTTGTTGACACCATACATACACACACACAAACACACAGACAGACAGACAGACAGACAGACAGACAGACAGACACACACACACACACACACACACACACAGCAAAACCAGAATATAAATCTACAAAGAAAAGATAAGCAATAAAATACTTCAGAAAATTTCACAGATCTATATAGTACTGAATGTTTGAATAATGCAAACAATAAAGTCAGAAAAATAGCCTCACAATATCAAGAATAAACCTGCTTTCAGAAGGCTATCAAAGCCT